CCTTTCTCAAAGTGACTCTGTTATGGACATAACAGGCTGTATTCATAGCTTCAGCCCAAAAATGAATAGGAAGTCTTTTGGCATGTATCATAGCTCTGGTAGATTCCTGTATGGTCCTATTTTTCCTTTCTACAACTCCATTTTGTTGAGGAGTTATAGGAGAAGAGAATTCATGACTAATTCCTTCTGAGGAACAGAACTCATTAAACTTACTGTTTTCAAATTCCTTGCCATGATCACTTTTGATTCTGACAATACACCCTTCTTTTTCTCTTTGAATTCTTTTGCACAGTTCTTTAAAAACTTCAAACACATCAGATTTTTCCTTAATGAAGTTAATCCAGGTGAATCTGGAATAGTCATCCACAACAACATAGGCATATCTCTTTCCACCAAGACTTTCCACCTGCATTGGTCCCATCAGATCCATATGTAGAAGTTCCAGAACCTTAGAGGTGGTCAGATGTCTTGACTTTGGATGTGACATCCTAGTCTGCTTACCAACCTAACATTCACCATAAACTCTCCCTTCATCAATTTGCAGTCTTGGAATCCCTCTGACTGCCTCCATGGAGATAATCCTTTTCATTCCTCTTAGATGAAGATGGACAAGTTTTTGGTGCCACGGTTTCACCTCTTTTTCTTCTTTGGCAATAGAACACACAGTGGAGTAATTAGTGTTCTCAGGCTCCCACAAGTAACAGTTGTCTTTAGATCTGACTCCTTTCATTACAACTTCTCGTTTTTCATTAATTACAAGACATTCAGATTTTGAGAAGTTGACCTTGAATCCTAGATCACATAATTGACTGATACTAATGAGATTAGCAGTCAAGCCTTTTACCAATAGTACTTCATTCAGATTTGGAACTCCAAGGCAGTCCAAATTACCAACTCCTTTGATTTCACCTCTAGCACCATCTCCAAAGGTCACATAACTAGTGGTGTGAGGTTTAACATTATTGAGAAGGTTCTTGATTCCAGTCATGTGCTTAGAACATCCACTGTCAAAGTACCAGTCTTCCTTTGCAGAGACTCTCAGGGAAGTGTGGGCTATCAGGGCAGTAGCCTTTTTCTTCCATTGAGGAGTATGTGGTACCCTGTTAGACTTAGGTTTGACACCTGGGTTCTGATTAGGGTATCCATACAATCTGAAGCATAAAGGCTTTATGTGACCAAACCTCCCACAATGATGACATCTCCATCTTTGGTACTTTTTCTTCATATTTCTCTGTTCCCGATGTTGAGTGTTATATTGTGACATCTGCTTTGACATTTGTTTATCAGACCTGATCTTCTTGTCTGCACCAGATTTCTTTGCTGCCACAAATCCTAGACCAGACTTGTTTCCCACATTTTGTCCAACCTGAAGGATTTCTTCCAATTTGTCAGTTCCATTTGTCAGCATCTTGACAGATTTGGTCATCTGGTTCAGTTTTGAGTTCAGCATTTGAACTTCCCCTTCTAGATGACTTATAGTTTCAAGGTCTGCCCTTTTTTCAGCCTCCAACTTTATGATGCGTTTTGTTTGTCTCTCATTTTGCACACAGACTTTAGCACTTCTGATACACAATTTCTTGTAAGTATCAGCCAGTTCTTCAAATGTCACTTCCTCATCACTAGTGTCACTTTCAGAGGTACAAACACCAGTTAGTGCAGTAACTAGTTTGGCAGATTCTTCTTCAGAATTACTTTCTGAATCACAGTCAGACCAGGTAACAGTCATTCCTTTCTTTTGTTTCTTAAGAAAGGTAGGACATTCAGCTCGAATATGCCCATATCCTTCACAACCATGGCATTGAATTCCTCTGCCTTGATTTCCCTTCTCTTCAGACCTTGGTCTTCTGCTGGAGTCATAAGATCTGTTAATGTCAGAGGGGATGTTCTCAACATTTGACCTTGACTTTGGATCCATTCTCTTGATGAGTTTGTTGAATTGTCTTCCAAGCATGGCTATAGCTTCTAAAATATTTTCTTCTTCATCCTCCTTGTTTTCATCTTCAGAGCTGGATACAAGTGCTATGCTCTTGTTTTTCTTGTCAACATTGTCACTGATCCCCATCTCAAAAGTCTGAAGAGACCCAATGAGTTCATCCACCTTTAACTTGCTGATATCCCGGGCTTCCTCTATAGCAGTTACCTTCATTGCAAATCTTTTAGGCAGGGATCTGAGAATCTTTCTCACCAGTTTTTCTTCAGACATCTTTTCTCCTAATACTCCTGAGGTGTTGGCAATCTCCAAGATGTTCATGTGAAACTCATGAATGGTTTCATCTTCCTTCATCCTTAGGTTCTCAAACTTGGTAGTCAGCATCTGAAGCCTTGACATTTTTACTTTGGATGTGCCCTCATGGGTAGTTTTGAGAGTGTCCCACACTTCCTTGTCCAGTTCAAATTGATGTACTAGTCTGAATATGTTTCTATCAATTCCATTGAACAAGGCATTTAAAGCTTTGGAATTACCCAGGGCTAACTCATCTTCTTCTTTGCTCCATTCTTCCTCAGGCTTCAGACTGATTGTCCCATCTTTCTCAGTTATGGTGGGATGGTTCCATCCTTTGTCAGCAGCTCTCCAAGCCTTTTTGTCCAGAGATTTTAAGAAGCCAATCATACGAGGTTTCCAGTAGTCATAATTTGTTCCATCCAGAATGGGGGGTCTATTTCCAAAAACTCCTTCTTTATCTATAGTGCCAGAAAGTGATATCCCTAGATCTCACCCAGTAATACAGGCAGGGTGCCTGCTCTGATACCAATTGAAATTCTGGCAGCAGATACTCAATGTCACAGTGAATGTTATGACACCGTATCTGACTTTCTATAAGACAGTAAATAAAAACAGTAAAGAACACAGTCAATTGTTTACCCAGTTCAGTGTGAAACAACACCTACTCTAGGGGCTACCAAGCCAGGGAGGAAATCCACTACAAGAGATATTAATTCAGGAATAAACCAACCAGTTTATCTCCTTCACTTAAGACCTACCCAATGCAACTTCAATCTAAGTTCAACTTAAACCTGAGTTCCTACTCACTCCCCCTCAATCACAGCAGTGATACTTAAAACAATTGACTAATGAAATAATGAAGACACTCTTCAGAACATACACTTGATTATGCTTCACAACTTTTTAATCAAGTAACACAAACACTCGTGCTTCACAACTTTGAGTGATACATAAACCTAACTTGACTTTGCTTCAAAGCTTTAGTCAAGAGACACAAAACACTCTTGCTTCAAAGCTTTGAGTGATACAAAAACCCTTACAATCAAAACCTATTCCAAGTCACTTATCACAATGATACTTGCTTGGATTACAGCAGTTAAAACTATACAGCTCCTAATTGATCTTCAGTCAAAAGAGTTACTTTCCAATCAGCAATCCTATTGAATATATATGCAGCTGTTTCTTCAGTTTAGGGCTTCCACGAAAAGCTAGGGTTAATTAGGGTTAACCTCAAGACTAGGTCATAAGACTTTATCAACCAGATTAGGGTTGAGCTAGGTTAACCCAAGGTCCACGTGAGATTCTGTTCTGGAAGGAATGAGCCAACTTCCTGAAAAATCTCAGAATTAACCAAACTGCATATCTGTTAGATCAGTACAGGATGTCTTAACATTTGTTATGACATCAGAATTCCTGTTTACTGATTTTGGTAGAAGGCAATAAATGTGATCATTGCAAAATGCTCAGATACACACTCATAAACAGTAGCTACTGTATGCCATACTTTTTCTGCATAAAGTACCTAATAAACCAGAATGTTATGACATCAGTCATGACATTTACACACCTGGTTTTACCAAAAATACATGTCAATAACTAAACACTTACAAACTCCCCCTTTGACAGATTTTTGACTAAAACCCCTAAGCAATCAGAGAATAGAGAGCAGTAGAATGAATATGACTGCAGAAAAAAATGATGTCTACCACAAAATATCTCCCCCTCTTTAGCCACAAATAGGCCAAAGATACATGTACTTATATGTTATACAGTCATCCAAAATAAGTAATAAAAACAACAAATAAAATCTGAAAACACTTGCATCAACAGGAACCAGCATCAGGCTTGTCAACTCCACCAAACTTTAAGCACTATCATCTTCAGAGGAGCTACTTTCTTCAGCATTGAGCTGATCTTCAGCAGCACCCTCTTCCCTTCTGTTTCCTTCAGTCTCCTCCTGTTCCAACTAGAGAGAGAACTTTGATTGAGAGAATGGGACTTTAGCAAGACCGTAGGCTAAAAATGTTATAGTGTCATCAAATAATATGACGTGTGTGAATATGACAAACTAAATAAATGACCTTTAGCATAAATAACTTTCTATGAATAAGGCAAAAATTTAACTTTGAAGAAGAACATAAAACGGTGATAAAATTTGTTTGCCTAATTCCATCAAACGACTTATTCCGGAGAGAAAAGAAACTCTCCTAATGACTAGACCTCCAAGAGTTTTTAAAAGTCCAATATATTTAAAAATGTTTTCCAATCTCATATAAATATCTTCAAAGGTTTCTTAAATTCCAAAAACATGCTCTTAAAAATTTATCCTTATATCTCTAAAATTACCATTAAGATTCTCAAACTTTTTTTCAGCTTTCAGCTCTAAAGTTTAAGGAAGAAAAGCATAAGCTATTAGCTTAGATTTCTTAAACTTTTTTATGCTACGAACATGAAATTACTTCACAAATTACATTAAAGTTCCTTTCTTAGGGTCCAATAGAAACTGGAAAGGATATTTTAATTTCCTGCAGAACCATGTCTCAAATAAATTAATATATAAAAGTAACTAAACATTAGGTGCAAATATATCAACAATCCAAAAGTTGGAAAAGATGCACTAATTATTTAAACTAAAATGGTTTATTGCTTTAATAATTGTACACTAACCATCCAATTTTATACATTTCCACATAAAATGAGCTACTCAAATTTTCTTGTCTATGAATAAAATCAAATCATAAAATATAGTTGAAAAAACAAGATATTTGGACATATATTAGCATGGTGCAAATCTATCCATAAGCAAACATATTGTTGACTCAGATATTGTGGTAGTATCCCTTTGAGTTTCCCTTTTCACTTCTTTCTCTTCTTCTAAACCTTCTTTAGATTTAGTCTTGTTGGTCACAACTCTTTCTTTGAGCTTGGCTAGCTCCCCAATCCATATCTCTACCATGCCTGACATTTTTCTCACTCTTAAAAAAGTAGCAAAATCAAAGTTTATTTTCTGAATGATTGATGTAATAATAATAGAACTATATTATTATGGTTTATATAGAGACTAGAAATAATTAGAATATTCATTTGGGGAGAAATGTATTCTTACAAGAAAGGGATGTGCATGTTTTGATCCTCATTGGATTCAATAGTACGTGGAAAGGAATACACCAATGGCATATTCGTTACAAAATTTTATTGGTTTCCTTTTATTTTATTTATATTTGCTATTTCTTGTGTATTTCCTTTTACATGTGTGGTGTATATTCCCTCTCACCATCTTCTCATTTAATGGTATATTTAGTGTTTTTTGATATTATTCTTTAGGACTATTCTAATGTAAACTAAGTTTTATAAAAAATCTTAATATTGTAAGAATTAAAGAGAAATACCAAATACATGATTATGTTCTCTCCGTTCAAACCATGTGAGAGCCACAGAGTTACATATATGGTCATGAAATAGGACAACAAATGTGGTCTTAAATAATAATAGCTTGATTAAAACTCTTGTGATGTGCGGCTCGAAATTAACTTGTGTATTTTTTTTATTGAATTTTAATTAGATTTAGAGTTTGTTTCGATAAAATATAATTATTAAATTTATATTATAATTTTTTTTGGAATTATTATGAAGACAATGATATAAATTAATAATATAGATAAAAATATATTTTATTTGAAAATAAAATACATGCTTGTAAATTGAGAGATGTTCATAATTTAGGTTTATAAACTTAAATATCTATAAAATGTTTTTTTAGTTTTATTTTAATTTGTTAAACATATATATTTTTTTAGTGTTAAATAAAATTAAAGTTTTTTCAATAATTTTATTAAAATTATGTTTATTTTGTCGAATTTTAGTTATCTGATGATTAAAGGATTGAAAATATTAGTTGTTATATTAATGTAATTATGTTCTTTTAATTTTTATTATTGAGATTGTAAAGAAATCATTTGATTTTGTTGTTGATATCGATTGAAATATGAGTGTTTTTTTTTTTAGACATTATCATATTTGTTTTTAGTATACTCTCTATGATCATTATTGTAAAACAAAAGCCTAAACTACTTTAAAAAATTTCGATATTCTCATATGCGAGAAATCATAAATATTATTGATTGTCTTTAGTTTATTATTTGGTATTATATGAAAAATATAATAGTAAAGTATATAGACACGGTAAAGGATTGTTTTATACTTTATTATAGGGTTAAATATACAACCTCCTATGCAATGTTAGCAAGTTTTTGTTTTTGCCCCTGGTAAAGTTTTGTTTTTAATCCCCCCTTATCTTATTTAGATTCTCTCACAGAACCCGCTAAATACCAAGTGGCATGAAAGATTCACCTATTATTTCATGCATGACTTTTATATTTAAAAATTTTCGAATTTGGAAACACATGTACATGAGAGCATAGCATAACATGATTTATGTTCTTACTTGAAGCAACTCGAGAAAATAAATCTCTGAAACAAACATTGAAGTCGCCATCGGACATTTATTTATCCCCCTGAAGGGAAAGGAAAACATAGAAGAAAATCTGATGAGGGTGAAATCACGGTCTTGCAACTGAAAGATCGGGTAGGGAAGTCGATTACGCGAGGGAAATGTATTAACACTCCTCGCGTCTGTGGTACTCCAAGAGATCCACTCTTGTTGTCTATTCTAATGGGTGTGTCTAAAATCTAAAAGCTAAGATGTACAGTGAATACATGAATTCGAAGGATTATATACAAAAAAAAATTTATTAGTTGTGTCTGCCTCGGTTGCGAACCTTTGTGCCCACGTACCACCTATTGTGCAATGGAGATCAAGACACTCGTAGTTCACCTCAAAAAATTTGGTGTGTTGTATGTTTCTTATGAACAATGCTAGCGAAGCATGTCCTTTTTGAAAAGGTTTTAAAATAAAAAGTCAGAAGACATAAAATGTTTGCATTGGTTGGTGTTTTTTATCTTGAAAAAGGGTTTGAGTAATGTTAGAGTGTTTTATGAATTTGATAAAGAAAAAGAGTTTTAGTCTTAAAAGGGATGCCAAAAGAAAAATCTAACAAAAGGGGAATCTCAATCCTACTTGTTGTCATGCTTGTGGACATAAAGTTGGGATCAATAGAATTCTACCCAAAGTTGGCATGCATGGATATCAATCCTAAGATTTACTTAGTTCAAACTCGACCAGGAATGAACTAAAAATCCTATGGGGAGCATGTGAACACACAATAGAAAGAAACACGCAAACAATCAAGACTTAAACAAGATATGAAAGCAATCACACAAGGAATGAGAAGTAACCACTTACTCTAGTGTAAACGCCTAACCATGATATCAAGTTATCAAGGTAGGATAAGGGAGAGGTAATAACACCTAACTGTGATATTATATTATCAAGGTAGGATAAAATCTCTTACTAAGATATCGTGTCATCTAGGCAATAAGTATGGGGGGGGGGGAGATGTAAACTCTTAACCAAGATATCAAGTCATATAGGCAAGAAGTACAGAAGAGAGGGTGTCGACCCTTAACCAAGATATTGTGTCATCTAGGAAAGAGAAGAGAAAAGGTGTATGTCCAAAGCAACTAAACATCTAACCATGATATCATGTAATTAAGGTTGGAGATAGAAGACAATATAGACAAACACGAAGCATTAACATTTACCAACGTGAGCTAAAGACAAATTGTGGGGGTTTATTACGAACCCTTTTCCACTCGATCGACTCGATAATAAGAGTAACATGATTCATAGCATCGACGTACGACGTGAACTATGAATGACCTGGGGACTTGAAATGGAGGGAGTCAATTTCAGACCTACACTTCGCCTTATTTCCTTTCTTTGAGGTCTTTGCACAATGCCTTCTTTGAGGCCTTTAAACAATGCATTTCTTGAGGACTTTAAACAATCACAAACATTGCCTCTTTTGAGGACTTTAACAAACACAAACATGGCCTCCTTTGAGGACTTTAAACAGAATTTTCCACCTAAAGTAAGGAATCCCAGGCATGCATCTCTATTCCTATTTCTCATGGAAAAGAAGTTGAAATACAATGCGGAATAAAAACAGATAAGAAAGGTACCAAACAGATAACAATCTGTGTATTTCTCAACAAAGCGTAAGAAACCCAAAAAACTTCGTGAAAGCTTCACCAACACAGAAAAGAAGTCAAAAGTAAAATGGTCCGACATAAGCATCAAAGAATAACCGATGTGAAAATAAATCACAATCGGAAAGTATCAAATAATTTTGGATGTCGCATAATAAACCTACACGAAAATACAAATCCAGACAAAAACAAAATCAATGTATATATCTCATGGATTGAGACACCAAGCTCAATTGCGTTAGAGCTAAACCGAACCGCAAAAGAAGTGGAATTAATGCTTTAATAGAATAATCAACAATTAATTAATCGATTGAAAGCTCTCTTAAATCACCTTGTACAAGTTAACAAATGAGTTAGAAATAACAAGGAGATGTAACTGAAGTTACGCATTCACATCACAACTTAAATTGGAATCAAATCATGGAGAAACAAGTTGCAAACATGCATTGGAACCATAAAATAAATTACCGGGAAGTATCAAATAACACATGAAAGTGCACAAGAAAGTCAAATCTAAATTAACCGAACTTGATACCAATGTCAAACATATATGCTAACAAGCTCAAACATGCATTAAGTCGGAATTAAATCACAGCGCACACATACTTACCAACTCCGGGCAGCAACATTATACTTCACAAAATGTTCAAAAAGTCGGTTTAAAATCAACCAAACTTGATACCGATATCAACAAAATATGCTAAAAAGCTCAAGTATGCAACAAGTATGAATTAAATCACAATGTACATGCAAAAACCATTTTCTGGACAGCATTGAATTAACAAATGAAATGCTCAAAAAGTTGGATTTAAATCAACCAAAATTGATAGCGGTATCAACCAATCACCAACACAAAATCACTTATGCATCAAGCAACAATTAAAACATGGTTTATGGTCTACTTGTGAATTCCGGGCAGCAATATGCATATGTTGATGTTTACCAAAAATTGGATTGAAATCAAAGTTTTAATGCACTAAATCCGAACATCAAGACATGAAAATTTAATCAGAATTCATAATCAAAATGCATCCATTAAATCAGTACTGGTACCACAATTATCAAGCATTGAAACAAAATCAATTTACGCATCGAAGACCATTAAACAACTGGAAATTTAATTCAAATGCATGATTTTAAACAATTGTCAAAAAGTATCGAATCATAATAAGATTACAACGCATAAGTCTCAACAATCAACAACAATTAATTCTGAAACGTAGATCTCAATAATCAATAACCATTAAATAAACTGATTTCACATTTATCCATCAACAAGCTTCAAGAATCAATTAAATTCGCACAAATCAATTTAAGCAAAATCACACAATTCCAATAAGCACTTATTCTTCACAATTCAAGATTCAATTTATGCAAAATCCAAACAATTCAAGAATTCCCTAATTAAAATCTCAACACAAAAATTGATGCAAGCAAGATCAAAGAAGTTACCGAAAATGATGCTGAGCAAATGAACCGGAGAAGGTGAGGAAGATCCACATGAAAGAGTACCGACCGGAGGAAGCTCGCGGAAATGACCGATAGAGGGAGTCCGGTGTTGGTCGGTCGGAGATCAGAAGGAGTATGCCGGATGCACCGGTCGGTTGGGAAAGAGGTACAAGCCCGGGGGGGATTCGGCGATGATGTGTCTGGAGGTAGAGGGAGTAAGAGAGTTTGAGTTCTTGAGAGAGGGAAGAGAGCTTCTTCTTTTGTTCTTGAGAGAATAAAGATATTTTAAGTGTGATTTGAGAAAAATGAGTGAATGGTTCTTTTCAAGTTGGGGAGAAAGAATATAGAGAGGTGAGTTAGGCTTTTGTTTGGCAAATGGCAAAAAAAAACTAGTTTTTCCTTTGTTTTTGAGAACAATGCAGAATTTTCAGCTTATTTTTGTGTACACTCGAGAAACAAACCACAGACTCATAACTTTCGCTGCAGAATTTGAACTCGAATCCTGAAGCAAAATCGTAGATGACGAAATTTGTGACGTCGTGGTGAAATAATTGTCCCGATACAATAAAAATTGAGAAAGTTATGAATTTTGCAATGGCGAGAAACTTGCAGCCAGATTT